TATGGCGAACTGTCAACGGACTTCGTTACTTCAAGTGGTGTCGGCCAGGAACGTCCACACTCTCCATTCTTGTTTAATTTTATCATAGACATGCTCTTAGAAATAACCTTATCCTCGTCTGAATTTTCAGGAGTAGATCTTTTACCAGGAGGCTCGCTTATTTACTTAGAATATGCCGATGATATAGTCGTACTTGGTGAAGATGCTGACAAAATGCAGAGTCTTCTGACTACCTTAAGCAACGATGCAAGCATGTTCGGGATGACTAAAGGACGAGTGTACTGTGTAGTAGTTCGCTCCGTCTTACTTTATGGCTGTGAAAAACGACCAGTAAGAGTAGAAGATATTCGCCGGTTATTGGTTTTCGATCATAGGTGTCTTCGAAGCATTGCTCGTAAATCCTGGGACACCCGAGTGAGCAACGCTGTTATTAGGAAACGGGTGCTAGGTAAGAATGGTAGATCAATAGATGAAGTGCTGAAACTTCATCAGTTGAGGTGGTTGGGACATGTGTCGCGTATGCCTAACCACCGACTGCCTCGATAAGCCTTGTTTTGTAGTGTAGGAGTAGGTTAGAAGAAATCTTAGGGGCGGCTAAACCAAAACATGGCAGAAATCCATGAAGTCACTGAAAAGTGAACTTAGCCATGTCGGTAATTGTCGACTACCTGGTTGGGGTCCGCGAGATTATAACAACCGATGGTTAGAGACTATGAATGTTGGCAGTAAATCGTTTGCAATAGTGCCAGAGCATTCATTCTTTGTGTTCTCTCAAATTCTAATCGTCTGAATTCCTCATTGCCTTTATCTTTTGCTTTTTTTAAATTTATTTCCTTGGACTAGACCTCTTGAATAATATCTCCTAACCCTAGTCTTCTTCATTACCATTATAACCTCTACTATCTCTATCACTATGAGATTTGATTTGACATTTGCGTCTCTGTGTTAAGTGTGGTATGGCAACCTGAACTTATGTACATACGTACGAAGTTCTACGTTGCAACTGAATGACTGTGAGACCATCACCATTGAGAAATTCGGAAGCATTGGATGACCATTTCATCATCCTAGTATGGAAAAACTTATCAGTGCAACTAAGAAACCAGTTCGCGAGTGAAACCAAAGGTCCATGATTTGATCCCCACACGTGGGTAGAGTCAAAGCTTATGATTAACTGTGATGTTTGTCAGAGTTGTTCACTTTCTCCATTCATATTCAACTTTGTCACTGACATGCTTTTAAAGACAACACTTTCATCATCTGAATTTTCAGAAGTTTTACTTTTACTGGGAGATTCACTTGTTGACTTAGAATATGCTAATGACAGTTCTATTTGGTGAAAATGCTGACAAAATGTAGAATTTTCTGAATACCTTAAGCAACAATGTAAGCATGCAAAATGTTGCTTCATGTTTAACTTGCGTCGCCATCTGAACTAGTAGTGATAGGGAAAAAAGTAGGTGAGTGTATTGACAGCTTCACTTGTCTTTGGAGTCTCATAAATGCTGATAGCCTGGTGTCTGACGAAATCTCAGCACGGATATAAAAGCCTTGACTGGCTTATGCCAACTTGTGTCACATATGGCATAGGCAAAATATCCATCTGCTAATCAAAGGACGCGAGTGCACTGCACAGCAGTTCGCTTCCTCCTACTTTACGGGTGTGAAACATGGCCACTAAGAGAAGAGCATATCCGTAGGTTACTGGTTTCCGATCATACGTGTCTTTGAATCATTGCTCGTATATCTTAGGAGTAAGCAATACTACTGTTAGGGAAAGGGTACTAGGTAAGGATGGTCGATCAATTGATGAAGTAGTGGTGTAGGAGTATGCTGGAAGAGTACTAGGGGCGGTCAGACTTAAAAATGACAGCCAGTCTCTGAAGACACTGACAACTGAACTGAGCCTTGTTAATGGGTGTAGACTACTTTGGTTGGATTCCGTGAGACAACAGTAACATACAATTAAATCACTTTGTACTACACGCCCGCAAACACAAACACATTTTGAACTATTTATTTCACAATCTGAGATCTACAAACACATCACAAGTTAAGCCTATGTAAAGTGCAATCACAACGATTACATCATTCTTGCAATTATCAAAAAAAAAAGATACATTCGGATCCACACCAAAACGCACGCACACACACACACACACACACGCTAGACAAACACACTAGAATACAGACAGGCACATAATTTATCCTTAACCCAAATTCATTGAATATAAATGCACGAAAAATAAACCTTGACAAGAGGTAGGTGGTAGGTAGGTAAGTAGGTAGGTTTTATGTGACATTTATGTATACGACTAAATGTGCATTAAAATGCATATATTGTAATGTATATTGTAATTGTACTGTAATTATGGCTTTGTCCAAAACTTACACATAAACACTACATATATTAAGGTCAAATGTTCATATTATATGTTCAGGGTAATATAAAATATTTTCAGTTACAGTTTTGGAGATTTGTGTTTTTTACACTTTTAAAATCATCAATCAATCATTGTTAGACAGAGTACCATTAGAGAAACCTGGGAGCACTGCACGACGGCCGTTTCGTCCTGGTATGGGACTACTCATCGGCAGCAGTGCGCATCCACGACTGTTGCATCTCGCAGGATTCGAACCCGGGACCTTCGGTATTGTGCGCGAACGCCTAACATCTGGACCACTGGGCAGGCATCCGACAGTGTTAATGTCTAACTCTGATTGATCTAGGGATTTTGCGCGACCTCACCCATTTGTCTTTGGTTAGACATTACCACCGTTGGATGCCGGCTCAGTGGTCCGACGGTTAGACGTTCACGCACAATAAACCGAAGGTCCCGGGTACGAGTCCTGCAAGGTGCAGGAGTCGTGGATGGGCACTGCTGATGAGTCCCATACCAGGACGAAACGGCCGTCGTGCAGTGCTTCCAGGTTTCTCTAATGGTGGTCTAACAATGATTGACTGATGATTTCAAAAGTGTAATAATATATTATCATATTAGAAACTTTTATGAAAACAAATGCCTTTTTGTCTAAATGAAGTTATGAGTGGAATTTCGATGGGACTACGATGTTTTTTTCTAAAAAATTCTAGTTTATAAGATGATCAATATGTTGGGGATGTTAGATCCTCAGAAATCGCTTGATAAATATCTTTATTTTGGATTTATTTCATGGACCGATCAGTTGACCTTGAGATTGCATTTCCCGCCGGGAAAATCCTTGGGTGTGATTGGTTACTGTGTCATTTTAGTGTGCTATTTTTGTGACTGTCCCAAGGACTCTCTGTAGAGTATAAATACATGCGATTTGTGTGCTTGGATTCATGGTGTGCTGGCTGGGTGTTTGTAGAATACACTTTCTACGCTATATCAGACTTCTTGCTGGTACAGTTGGGTCAAGGGATCATAGTAGCCTACTTGGACGATGGTTCATTGTTTTGTTCTCGTTATTTGACTAAGGTAAACCCGCAGTAGTTTAAGCATACCTACAGACGAGCATAACACAACAACGATCTCAATAATACTATCATGCGAAAATGTGCCTACTAGTGAGTAGGTTCAGATGATTTGACTATTTTATCGCACACACGCAACAACAAATGCAAGAGAAGACAACCAGTGTAACAGCAGCCTCGGCGGCAGCAGGTCTCAATATACATAAAGGGGAAAGTAAGATTCTCCGATGCAACATAACATGCACCAACAAAATCACTCTTGAAGGAGGTGCGTTGGAGGACGTTGACACCTTTACATATCTAGGCAGCGTCATCGACAATCAACGTGGATTCGATGGAGATGTGAGGGCGTGGATTGGCAAAGCAAGAGCAGCATTTCTACAATTGAAGAATATCTGGAACTCCAAACAAACATCAATCAACACTAAAATCAGGATTATCAATACAAATGTCAAGACAGTTTTACTGTATGGAGTGGAAACTTGGAGAACTACAAAAGCCATCATCCATAAGATACAAGTGTTTATCAACAGTCTATGCAAAATACGTCGGATTCGTTGATCAGACACCATTAACAACAACCTAGTGTGGGAGAGAACACACTGAAGAAAGCACCTGACTGCGTCACAAGACAAAGTCAAACTTGTAACCCTCAAGGTAAAAGGAAAAGAGGAAGGCCAAGGAACACATTACGCCAAC